TGACTCTTGAGAGCCTACATGAACCCAGACGGGGTTGGTTGGTACATGCCATTAATGGCCGGTCGGAATTATTTATTAGTATAGACCACATAAAAGCAAACACTTTAGAAAGATGACGGAGATCTGGGGGAGCTAATCATTGTATAATATTTGAAATACACAGGAGTGGAACCAGTTTGTCAAGCTTATCGTCTCCGAATGAAAATTGTTTAGTAGAAATCATTATATGAACCGCACTAATGGCAGACCGGTGTATCAGAGGCACTGTGCAATACACCTTATCATTTCCCCTCAGTAACTACTCATCTACCCAAAGCAGATGTCAAGAGATAGTGCAATTAGACTATGACTGAGCATTCTTCAGTAATGGACAGCATCCAGACTTAGTGAGTAACTAAATGGAAATGCACTTTCCTTTTTACTTAAATGGTTGCAAGGAGTTCATTATCCCAAATCAAAACTTGACATGCAATGATTTGCAAACCAATAGCCTTTTTTTTTATTGCTGTAGGCAATCTACACTTTAATGTTATGACATTACTCTCATGTGCTGTTGCATAACTTTTGAGAAATATGAAAATGGCATATTTAGTCCCTCTTTCTAGTTTTCTAATTGTCTAATTCCAATGCACATGTTGTCTTCGCAACATTTATTTAGGCTTAGTTTGGTCTGTTTGTTTCTTCATACATTACATTTATGATGATAAAAAATTAAATGCATTTTATTTTCTATGATAGAATTTATTTGCATTTTTAAAAAAAATTATTTTAAGTCTATTGTCCATTTAAAAACGTATTTATTTCCATTTTTATGATTGAATTGATAACTCGTTTCATTTTATTTGTAAGTGTCACTCCTTGTTCTCCGCATATATTGATATTTTAAGTCGACTTAAAGAAAACCCACCCGGTAGATGTTTTCACATTTCTTAAACGTTCCATTTTGATTATTATTTCACTTTAAGTGTGGTTTAAGTGTAGAACGTATTACAAACATTGTAGAGACTCCAACACATGAAATGGGTGTGTCAGATAAAGGAGACATGCAAAACTTCCATGACAGGAGTCAGAAGGCAACACTGAAATATGATTTTTAAAACACTGGTTTTAAAAATCTGATGCAAACTATTGCCTCCTTGCATTAGGGCCCTATCAACTTTCAATGCAAACCTACGCCCTTGATAGAGAGAAAGAGAGAGAGAGGGGTTGGTGATTGGACCCTATTGGATGGAGGCTGATGGAGCGGATGAAATGGTGCATTACGGACACTGCACCTTGGCACACGTTGCGACACGCCTAGTGCGAGCGAAACTGCATGCGTAAAACCACATGCGATCGCTTTGATTTTCACGACCTCTTCAAACGCGAATGGATGGACGCAACTGTCAGCGCTGCGCGTTCAGTGACTGCTTCAGACAAAGAGAACAGCGTCGATTTGAGGGGTTTTGCATCTTTAAATAACCAGCGTTCTTATCCCTAATAATGCTTATAAATCCAAAGCGCTTTATTATGGCACGATTTCAGGTCCCCGCACTGGAGAATTCGGTTCTGAATCGGCAAAAACGCGTGGGCTACATCATTAATGCCCACTGATTTTTAAGCAAAACTGTGTTACTATTACGTCCATGTGCAATAATGAAATGTCATCCTGTGGTCATGTTGTGCAGTTCGGTCGGATCTCGCAAAGGCACCGCCCAAAGGTCCGCTGCCAGTTTCCAGCTCAAATCTGAATTTACATTCAATGCTGCATTTCACTCTAGTTTAATGACAGTGACATATCATGTTCCGAAATAAGCCTAGTCATCAGCAGAACTGTGACCTGTCAGTCGATCCGGATCAACTTATACGGGGGCCTTTAAACTGAAGAACGCGCACTCTAATTCGAATCGATATAAGAACTGGAAGATCTTTCAAAAATCTTAAACTTCCAGTGGCAATGCCCATGCATAATTTTAGACAGCTAGAACGTAATTATGAAAGAAATAACGTGAAGATAACTATCCGAATAGCTGAATCATTCATGAATTATGAATGTAGATATTAATAAAGCAGAAGTTGCACTTACCGATTTCATGGCAGCAGCCATATCGTCATATCTCTCAGCCTGCTCGGCCAGTCTGGCTTTCTGAACCAGCTGCTCGCGGTCCACCATGCTTAAGTTGCTTCAGGAGCTGTGTGCGGGTGATCGAGGTGTATTTGGTGAACATGCAGTGTTGCCGCTGCAGCTGCTCTCTGCTGTCTGTGCGGCGCGCGCGTGCCGATGCAAGACCCCCCCTCACTTTCTCTGGATTGCGTCATCAGTTGTGAGGGGGGTGCGGTGCGCCCTCTGCGTAGTGACGTCATTAACATGGGAATCTTGCGCGACAGTGACTTGCCGAATCATCCCGTGAAATTGAAATGTGTCCCTGCAGCACAAAAGCAGTGTTAAGTCGCTGGGGGATATTTGTAGCAATAGCCAACAATACATTGCATGGGTCAAAATTATTGATTTTTCTTTTATGCCAAAAATCATTAGGATATTAAGTAAAGATCATGTTCCATGAAGATATTTTGTACATTTCCTACCATAAATATATCAAAACTTGATTTCTGATTAGTAATATGCATTGCTAAGAACTTCATTTGGATAACTTTAAAGATGATTTTCTCAATATTTAGATTTTTTTGCACCCTCATCATGCACCTTCAAAGTTTGCTTTTCCATGAAATCTTCCCTGACTTTTTTGTTTTTGTGTGAATCTATTGTGATCGTATGTTTGCGCTTTTAAAGTATCTTTTAGAGCAATTTAAAAAAGAATAGCCAAATCATAATCAGGCTTAATAATTAGAGGGTTATTTAGTTATTTGCTTATTTATTTATTTTTATTAGATTTTTTTATATAGGTTAGAATATTAAGAATTATAGTGTTACCAGTTTGCTAGCCTTTGTATGATAACCGGGGCTTGTTGTCACACAGTACATTTTACTCCAGTGAATTTTTTTAAATGGTTGATTTAGTTTTCAAAGTCATTTTCTGTAGAGATACATACCGTACCTGCTTCTTGGCTACAGAAAAGCTATTGAAAAAGTCAAAAGTCAAAATCCAGACTCCCTTTATTAACTAATATGTTAATTATAACTAGTAACTTAGTAATATGTTATGTACTGCATATTCATTATTTTATCAAATGTGTTTTAAATGCAGATAATTAAACCTTTATTATATAGAGCACCATGCAGTAAGAATAAATAATGTGTTATTTTGACTTAATGGAGGAGAGTTGTATAGATGTTTAAATAAAAAAAACAGCTTTAGTCCACCTCTGTTAATAATAAGAGATTCATAGCTTTATTTCCACATATATTGACAAAAACATTGACGTTTCACCCCAATATTTTAGGAAAGTCTGTACAGTAAAAAAAGTTACATCAAAAACATTTGATCAATTGTCTTCTTTTTTTTAAATTTAGGATATCAAATGTTTAAATATATTATATATAAAATACCTTAACATAATTTTTGCCCCACATTTCTTTCCTAGCTCATAAAATAACCACCTAATACACTAAGAGGTTATGCAGTTAGGCCAATGACATGGTTTAGTTTCCTCAATGGAAATGCAATATTCCTTTTATCCCATTAATTTTTATTCTGTTCATCTACTCCAAAAAAATTATAAAAAATTATAATAATACACAAAAGAACAGAAGAAAATGAAAACCATTTTTTGCATTTAAGTCATTATTTTTCCCAATCAAAATGGACCTGAGAACATTTTTGAGAACCGCCCCCCCGACTGAATAATGAAGGCTTTCAACAAAATGCAAAAATCTACATCATGGGCGTCGCTAGGCCATTTTTAGGGGAGCTATAGCCATCTTTGTCATAAATCCAGTTTACCAAATATCATGGGGGAGCAATAATCGGTTCCCCATCTACTGTAGCCGAAGTTTTCACAGCGTTCACCCCTCATCACACCACAGCGGTTTCTTCCAGCGAAAATGAAGCACATATGAACGCATACTTTATAAAACAATCATGCTGCCATTTTCAGTTGAAAATTTAACTTTCAATATAATACATATTCCAGTGCATAAAAAATTATAATAATACACAAAAGAACAGAAGAAAATGAAAACCATTTTTTGCATTTAAGTCATTATTTTTCCCAATCAAAATGGACCTGAGAACATTTTTGAGAACCGCCCCCCCGACTGAATAATGAAGGCTTTCAACAAAATGCAAAAATCTACATCATGGGCGTCGCTAGGCCATTTTTAGGGGAGCTATAGCCATCTTTGTCATAAATCCAGTTTACAAAATATCATGGGGGAGCAATAATCGGTTCCCCATCTACTGTAGCCTAAGTTTTCACAGCGTTCACCCCTCATCACACCACAGCTGTTTCTTCCAGCGAAAATGAAGCACATATGAACGCATACTTTATAAAACAATCATGCTGCCATTTTCAGTTGAAAATTTAACTTTCAATATAATACATATTCCAGTGCATGTGGCGAATAGGTTTGCATACTTGAGCTAAGAGGGTTGTACTAGAAATGCAAACAGTAACATTTTGTGTTTGTACAGTAAACAGATTGTGTGTGTGAGATCATGAAGACTTGAGTTTGGCTTATTCAGTACTCAAATATTATACCTATTTATGCAATACAGTGGAATACTGCAATAAGTTTAGTATACGACCCCTATTAATCAAACATTTTTTATTCTTATTTATATATATTTTTTATTATAAGGCTATTATTATTATTATTATACCCTCACTGGGGGCTGAGCCTCTTTAAATTGAAAATCCTAGAATCGCCCCTGATCTACATTCTTAACTTTTAAGATATGCAACACAACAATCTTCAAATATTTAAAATAGAAATATTTTATGTTTTACTTTTAGCATTCAGGAAACAGATCCAGAAGAATCTAACCTTTTTTTTATAATCGGAAACGTACTAGAAGTACAGTACATAAGTTTTTTATGGCATAATAAATTTGGTGCTTGCAATCGAAATCTAAAAAGAGTCTAAAACTTTGGTTTCCACTGTATATCAATAGTTCAGCATATTTATTCACCTATGTGTACACATTCTTATAGTTTATAAAGTGCATAATTAGAATTTTCATTCATTATATTTATTACAGTTATTTATATAACAGTATTAGCATAATTTATTTTTTCTTGTTTCACACCCAATAATTATTTCCTCTTTAAAATCTCCTCGGTTGGTGTGAGGGGTTATGTACAAAATTTATACAAGTCCTGGAAACTCTTTCGCCCCCACTGTATTCACTGGACCGGGGTGGTGGGTGTGGCTTGCGGTGGGCGTGGCCTGTGGTGGGTGGAGTCATTAGAGTCCACATGTGACGCTGGCATCCTCTGAATGGTCACAGTTGTGGACGTTCCATGCTATGTGAGAGCACTGAGTGAGAGCAGCTTCTCTGCCTGTGCACTTCAGATTGTCCATCTGGATTGTGCTACGGCCGGGACCAAAGTAGGCCATCACCTGGGCGGCTTTAGGCAGCCCGCAGCCCATCTGCCTGCACACCACCTTCGCATCCGCCAGATCCCAAGCGTCATCGCACACAGTTCCCCATTCTCCTCTCAGGAATATCTCCACACGGCCCTCGCAGCGGTTCAGGCCCCCAATGAGCCTGATGGTACCTTGAGAAGAGAAAGAAAGGCATAAGCCGTGTGCCAATTCAAACACTAGTCATCCTAAACAGTAAGTGAAATTAGAAATAGTGTGCCCTAAATCATAGTATGCAGAAAACAGATGGTCAAAGGTGAAAAATTTGTAGTTTTGTAGAAGTGGGCATTCAAGCACGCTTTTTCAGTTATTATTTTCTACAACCCCATATTATTTTAAACATTTTCTTGCTTAAAGGAACACTCCACTATTTTTGAAAATAGGCTCATTTTCCAGCACTTTTAGCTGTAGCTTAGCATAGATCATTGAATCTGATTAGACCGTTAGCATCTCACTCAAAAATGGCCAAAGAGTTTCTATATTTTTCTTATTTTTAGAAAATCGCAACTTTTCATTTTCCGTCGGTCTTAGTACACGATGTAACTACAGAAGAGTCATATAAATAGGAAAAATATAGAAACGCTTTGGTCATTTTTGAGCAAGATGCTAACGGTCTAATCCGATTCAATGATCTATGCTAAGCTACAGCTAAAAGTGCTACCGCCAGACCCGGAGATCGGCTGAATGGATTCGAAAACGGTAAAACTCAACTGTTTAACTCTAGGGGAGTTGGAAAATGAGCCTATTTTCAAAAATAGTGGCGTGTTCCTTTAATGTTTTTGCCTCGTTTTCCAGTACAAATATCTAAGCATTCCTAAATCAGTCTTGTTTTATGAAGAATCTATAATCTTATCACGTCTATCAAATCTATCACATATTCATTATTTCACAAAATGTAAATACAGATAATGAGACATTTATTATGTAAAAGTTATTATATGAAAAACAAATAATCTCTTGATTTGTCTTAAAATGAGAACATTTCTAAAATATATATATATACAGTGGGGCAAAAAAGTATTTAGTCAGCCACCAATTGTGCAAGTTCTCCCACTTAAAAAGATGAGAGAGGCCTGTAATTTTCATCATAGGTATACCTCAACTATGAGAGACAAAATGAGAAAAAAAACCAGAAAATCACATTGTAGGATTTTTAAAGAATTAATTGGTAAATTCCTCGGTAAAATAAGTATTTGGTCACCTACAAACAAGCAAGATTTCTGGCTCTCACAGACCTGTAACTTCTTCTTTAAGAGGCTCCTCTGTCCTCCACTCGTTACCTGTATTAATGGCATCTGTTTGAACTCGTTATCAGTATAAAAGACACTCGTCCACAACCTCAAACAGTCACACTCCAAACTCCACCATGGCCAAGACCAAAGAGCTGTCAAAGGACACCAGAAACAAAATTGTAGACCTGCACCAGGATGGGAAGACTGAATCTGCAATAGGTAAACAGCTTGGTGTGAAGAAATCAACTGTGGGAGCAATTATTAGAAAATGGAAGACATACAAGACCACTGATAATCTCCCTCGATCTGGGGCTCCACGCAAGATCTCACCCCGTGGGGTCAAAATGATCACAAGAACTGAGAGCAAAAATCCCAGAACCACACGGGGGGAACTAGTGAATGACCTGCAGAGAGCTGGGACCAAAGTAACAAAGGCTACCATCAGTAACACACTGCGCCGCCAGGGACTCAAATCCTGCAGTGCCAGACGTGTCCCCCTGCTTAAGCCAGTACATGTCCAGGCCCGTCTGAAGTTTGCTAGAGAGCATTTGGATGATCCAGAAGAGGATTGGGAGAATGTCATATGGGCAGATGAAACCAAAATAGAACTTTTTGGTAAAAACTCAACTTGTCATGTTTGGAGGAGAAAGAATGCTGAGTCGCATCCAAAGAACACCATACCTACTGTGAAGCATGGGGGTGGAAACATCATGCTTTGGGGCTGTTTTTCTGCAAAGGGACCAGGACAACTGATCCGTGTAAACGAAAGAATGAATGGGGCCATGTATCATGAGATTTTGAGTGAAAACCTCCTTCCATCAGCAAGGGCACTGAAGATGAAACGTGGCTGGGTCTTTCAGCATGACAATGATCCAAAACACACCGCCCGGGCAACGAAGGAGTGGCTTCGTAAGAAGCATTTCAAGGTCCTGGAGTGGCCTAGCCAGTCTCCAGATCTCAACCCCATAGAAAATCTTTGGAGGGAGTTGAAAATCCGTGTTGCCCAGCGACAGCCCCAAAACATTACTGCTCTAGAGGAGATCTGCATGGAGGAATGGGCCAAAATACCAGCAACAGTGTGTGAAAACCTTGTGAAGACTTACAGAAAACCTTTGACCTCTGTCATTGCCAACAAAGGGTATATAACAAAGTATTGAGATGAAATTTTGTTATTGACCAAATACTTATTTTCCACCATAATTTGCAAATAAATTCTTTAAAAATCCTACAATGTGATTTTCTGGATTTTTTTTTCTCATTTTGTCTCTCATAGTTGAGGTATACCTATGATGAAAATTACAAGCCTCTCTCATCTTTTTAAGTGGGAGAACTTGCACAATTGGTGGCTGACTAAATACTTTTTTTCCCCACTGTATATATGGTTAAGAATAGGGATGCAAAACAATTAATCGCGATTAATCACATTCAAAATAAAAGATTGTTTACATACTATTTGTGTGTTACTGTACTGTGTATATTTACTATGTATATATATAAATACATATCTGTATATATTAAAAAAATATTTGTGTGCATATATATTTCTACTTGTATATAATTCATATTATATATAAATATTTTATATATAAATCGTTTAGCAGCCCTAGAATATATCATAGATTCATAGCATTTTTTATTTATATATACACTAGCAAATATGTTGCTGTTTTTCTCCAATACTTTATGAAAGACTGTACATTAAAAAAAGTGACAGCATAAATATTAAAAAATATAAATATATAAAAATATGTTCTCAACTTTTTTTTTTTTACTTTAGGCATAACAAATGTTTCATTATATACAGGGTTTGTGTTAACTTTGAGCATAAAGTCTCAAAAACATGAAGTCATGGCATTAAATGTGGCATGCGTCATCAGTTGTTTTGTTTTTTTCCCAGTACAAATATTTACATATCCTTAAATCAAGACACATTTACTTCAGATGCCATTTGAGCATATGAAGTCTTGTTTTTTTAGAAACTGAACAAATTTTAGTGAATCTACGCCTAAAACGAGAACAAGTACCTGTCAGTGAGGTATGAAAACGTGTTTTCCCTCTGAATTAAGCTTGCAACTTGGCAGATCATTTTAAGGGGATAGTTCACTCAAAAAGGAAGCAACGAATGTTTCTGTAATGTCTTTTAGGACGTTAAGACTCGAGTGTGACGTTCTTACCGTCCGCTGGTGTTGTGGTTGTAGTTGCTCTTGTAGTTGTCAGAGGTTTCTCTGTGACCCCTATGCCAAAGTCTCTTCCGGCTACCTCAAACTCCATAGGTGCTGAAAGAAAGAAAACACCAATTTAGTTAAGAAACGTTTGATTAACTTTCATTTACTGTGACTGAACGTACTCTTTTATACACATTAAGCTGTGCTTCTCATTCATGAGGCGGTCTAAAGGTTGATGCTTTCATTCCTTTATCTGGTGTTTATTTTAGTCTTTCCCTCTTCTCTTAAATGCTCATCTATTAGATGCATACATGCATATATTTATGCGTTAGTGGATGCACGTGGCCTATGCGGAGGACGGCTTCCCCTGCGGGTCTGTGCTGATGATGATTTGCTCCGACGGGCCTCTTTATTTTTCATGTAGACACGGCGACTGACGTACAGAGGATGCTTCTAAAGTTGCTGCAAATTACAAATGCTGATCTTTAATCAGTTTAGCGATTTCTCTAACGATGGCTGAGGGGATTTCGAAAAGATACAACGGCCAAGTAAATGTAATGGATGTGAGTTTGTATGTGTTTGAGAGTATTGTTAATTGAAGGAACAGTGAAAGACGGATGTGTGTGTGTGTTTGTCTGTGTGTAAAAGATGAAGCATGCCAAAGGAAAAACTGCCCTGGAGACTTGACTTAGTCCAGCAGAACATTGTGTTGCAGTGAGGTGTGTGTGTGTGTGTGCGTGTTCTTTCATAGTGAATAAATGCTGGTGTTGTGAATGACTGGGTGAATTTCATGAATGAAGTACTGGCAGCACTCACACGTCTTGTATGTGTGAATAGCCTGGATATATAATATGATTTATATATGAAAATTGCAATATAATGTGAATTATTCACACATATTTAGATTCAGATTTAGATTTACAGTACATACACTGCCATTCAAAAGTTTGGCATCTGTAAGATCCTAAAGAAGTTTCTTCTGCTCATCAAGGTTGCGTTTATTTGATTAAAAAATACATTAAAAAAATGGTTTTCTATTTTAATATTTAAAATATAATTTATTCCTTTGATGCAAAGCTGATTTTTTTTTTTTGTAACGTGTGATACTTTTTTCAGGATTTTTTGATAAATAAAAAGTGAAAAAGAACTTCTCTGTTACGTACGTAACCCTCGTTCCCTGATGGAGGGAATGGAGACATTCGTGACGACATTAGGGTTCTTACTTGGGAGCCCGAATCCTCTCTGATTAAGAGAAAATGCCAATGATATTTGGCTAGTGGATTTTGCATGATGAGCCACTCCCCATGCACAGGGGTATAAATAGGCGACAAGTGCATCCACTCATCAGGTTTTATGCTGAGTAGCCGAGAACTTGAACCAGTGATGGTTCGAGGTTGTGTCATGGGGACATAATGTCTTCCTTTCCTCCATCAGGGAACAACGGTTATGTATGTAACTGAGACGTTCCCTATCTGTCGGTCACTTCAAGTTATGTCGTGACGACATCAGGGGTCCATGGAAAGCGCCACAACCTGAACCCCATCACAACCCTATGGCATTGCAAATGTTGACAAGCAGCCGTGTGTCAGACAAATGCTACGCAAAGGTCATAACCTTCCCAACGCCCCAGCACAAATTCGCTGACCTTGGTACCCGCAGGGACCAAAGGGGAGTATATCGCTGCTGGTGATAGCCAAGCCGCTGTTACTTTTACTGCAGAAATTTCTTAACAGAAGGGATTTTGACCTTCAATGAAAGATTGCTTCAAGTCTTTCCTATTTGTTGTTACATCTTGGCAGTAATGATGGGGAAGCGAGCCTTCCAGAGAAGGGCACTATGGAGGCCACATCCTACTCGTAGGGAGGTATCATGTGGAGACACTCATATGGACTGACCCAGGCCTGGGGCAGTACTATATATGGAATGGGACTCTGAGGCAGGTCCTACCTGAGAATAGAGAGGAACGACTGCCAGCAGAGCCTGACAGAATGGTCTGTCAAAGGGAAGACATGGGTTCACCGAGAGGGAAACCTTACCATGGAAGAATACACATATGGGATCGCCCGAAGGGAATCAAGCCATATGGACACCTAGCCTATTACAGGGGCTGACCAGAGACCCGGGCAAGATAACATCAATACTGGGCCTGGCGTCAGACTGCTCTGCTCAGTCTGGCTGCCGGGGGTGCTGGAGGATACTCCACCAGGGTTCGCTGTCCGGGGAACAGTCCTCTTACGGGACACAGCAACAGAAATCGCAAAAAAAAAAAACTGATCTGCCTCCTCCGAGGGCAGTGCTTGCAGGTTCGCCACCTGATCGCAAAAAGGTGTGATGGGAACCTTGGGCACGGGTTCTCAGGACAACATGAGAGTAGGCCGGCCCAAACACAAGGCACTCTTCGCTTTCCCAGGAACCGGCCGTCCACTGCATCGTGATGTGCTGCAATAGCAGCCACATACACTTTCAGGGTGGAGGGTGATAGCCTACGCTTCAACCTTCCTTGCAGGAAAGAAAGCACTACTCCAATCATGCCTCTTCGGGGGTCTTCTCGGTGAGAAGAAAACCAGATCGCAAACAGACTCTACTTCAAGGCAAAACCTCGCCTCGTAGAGAGGGCTCTGGCCTGAGTGATAGTGTCTTCCACCACCAGTGAGAAATCACTTAGGTCTGCCGCGTCCCGTGATCTGGACGTGGGTGCCAGGGTGCTGAGCCTCTGAGAAAGAAGATACTTCCTCAGAGGAATGCGCCAGGGAGGGTCTGTCACGAGTAGCATGAGTTCTGAAAACCAGGTCTGGGTGGGACAATACGGCGCAACCAGCAGGACCTGTTCCTCATCCTCCCTGACCTTGTACAGTATCTGTGCGAGAAGGCTCACTGGAGGAAACACATTCTTCCGTAAAGCCAGAGGCCAGCTGTGTGCCAGTGCGTCTGTGCCAAGGGGGGCCTCGGTCAGGGAGTAATACAGCTGTCCTGATGCCCACTTCCCATAACGGGGCAAGGGTGCCCTCCGCGACTTTTGCAAAGACACGGGGGGGACAGGGAAAGCCCGAAGGGGAGGACCCTGACAACCATGCCCGACCCTCGAATGCAAACCGCAGGAATGTGAGCCATGCTCCCAAACTCTGTGTGAGTGGCACCAAAGGGACAATCGACATACCCACAGTGGTGCAGTGGTGGGAAGTCATGCTAGATGGCCCAGAAAGCACCGCGTTCTGGCCCATCACAGCAGGACTCCCCGTGTCCCCGGAGGGACCCGCCAGAGATGCGTGGGAAGGCATTGCATCCCCGAACTGTAATCTCTTTGCCTCTGGTGATAGGGGGCGTCGTGGGCAAGAGTGAGGAGGCAGTGCGTCGCTCACTGTCAACCCACGAGCCTGATGGCCCGGAGGAAAATGAAACTGCTCTTTCTTTGAGAATGTGGTTACCGCTGGCTCTTGGGCCAACAGCGGAACAGAACAAAGCAAAGATTCTCCACCCAGCCCTCCTCCGGGGGAAGGAGTGGCACTGTTCTCACCATCTCCAAAAGAGAAGCAGTTCCTCGCATCTCCGGGCTGTCCATGTCAGGGCCTCCTCGCAGTCTTCCTGGGGTACTTAGGGGCCAGCTGGGACATGGGTCGGTACTACCCTTGTGCATTCGTTTTAGTGCTTAAGATAGGGCATCTTTAATAAGATGCGAGCGTCCGTGATAAGAAACTGCTCTTTTAGATGAAGCACCCAGGGTAATCGCTGAATTAACAGGGACACCGCTGATTGTGCCGTAACGCCACCCAGAACAGCCTCTTCTTCCAGCAGCAGAGAGAATTTGCCTGGTGAATCTCGAACCGTGTTCATTCACTCGGCTCTGAAGCAAAAATCTGATGAGTGGATGCACAATTTGCTGATTTCTGATTATTGTCAATGTTGAAAACAGTTGTGCTGCTTCATATTTTTGTGGAAAATTTGATACATTTTATTTTTCAGGATTCTTCAATGAATAGAAAGTTCAAAAGAACAGTGTTTACATGAAATGGAAACCCTTTGCAACATTATAAATGTCTTTACTGATCAATTTAATCTATCCACTCATCCATCGAAATACATAAGTAAATCAATAAAATAATTATGATAAAATAATAAAATAAATAATATCTAAATAAATATGTATTTAATGTAATTATGTATAAGTAGTAGATTTTTGCTATCTATCCGTTTAAATGCATAAATAAATATGTAATTTATTTAGTTTATATAGATAGATAGATATTAAATTAATTAATTTAGACCGTATTATATTAATGTATTTATTTTTTTGCAATCTACCTTTTTAAATACATAATTTATTTATGGATGGATAGATGGATATGTGTCTTATGTGTCTTTACTACCTTTCGTTGTTGAGGCTGTAGTGATCACCGTGGTTACTGTTTCATGTTGTACTGGCACTGGCATTTCTGTCACTAAAGAAAACAGAGAAAAATGTCACGAAAGAAGGAGGAACACAGACAAAATGTGTGCACTCAGTGATGTTTTAAAAAAAGACGCTATCTGCTGGTGCTTGAAGGGGTTTCATTATGCAGGACGATCCTGTTAGCAGGCAGTGTGTTAGCAGACAGATGGCACAAAACGGATGGTCAGGCACAGCAGTTAATAACAATGAATTGGCTATTAATTCAACCGTGCATTATTGAAAATAGCAGGTGAAGTTACAGGCTCCTATGTACAGTATAGACAGTGTTTATACCTGCTGTGCTTTCAGGAACGATGAAATCTCTGCCTATAGTCTCTGTGTTGATAATTGGGACCGTGGTGGAACTGGCACCTGAAATATATAATAGAGACAGAGAGAGTTAGAGCTGCAATCAAATGAAATACAGCAGTACAGAATATGCACATACTGTCAGGTCTGAAAGATCAATACTGCTAAATTAATCAATGTAAATGTAAACAACAACAAAAATATATATAACATATATATATATATATATATATATATATATATATATATATATATATATATATATATATATATATATAGTAATAATTCAAGCAATTATGATGATCATATAATTATGGGAAGAAAGTAATGTTGAAAAAATTACAAAATAAAATTGCAAAAATAATGAAAAAAGAGCAAAATGCAGTAAAGTTGCACAATAAAATTGCAAAAATTCTGAAAACTATGCAAAATAAAATCACTCTATCTCATAAAAAAATGCTAAATAAAATTGCAAATATAATGAAAAAATGATGAAAAATTGCTAAATTGTAAAAATCATGAACAAATTGCTAAATATAAGCACTTCTGTTGGACCCCACTTAGTACATTAGTTCATCTGAATATGGCTTATTTCAACAGAAAATTTGGAAGAATTTTATGTGCAAGATTTGTGAGTTCCAGTCATTTTAGTACAAAAACAGCCCGTTACGCTGTTTGATATTGCAAACTGGTAGGCTATTCATATTTATTTTTATATTATTATCGTATTCATAAACACACTGGTTTGTAACACAAGTAGCTTTACTATTCTTTAGTTATTCTTGTAGTTATTTACCTATATGACTAATGAATCAGAAGTCTTGCCCATTCACAGAAAATAGCTGACTTCTGCTTTGTGAAATAAGGTGTATACCTGAAAGAGGAGAAAGAAACCCACCTGAGCAGATGACACCGGCATCCTCATGATGGCCGCAGTTATGAACTCCCCAGCCGAGGCTGTAACAGCTGGCCAGGCTGCCCTCCTGCCCGTTACAGTTCACGTTATCCAGCAAAATCCGTCCCGTGCCGTAGCCGAAGTAAGCATTTGAAGGTGCGCCGACAGCCAGTCCGCAGCCGATTTGTTGACACACGACTGTGGCGTCCGCAATGCTCCAGTCATCATCACACACCGTTCCCCAGCTGCCCTGATAGTAGACCTCCACCCGGCCCTGACAGAGGTCCCCTGTCCCCGCCAAACGCACCGCTCCGTCTCCTACAGCACAGGTTCATATATAGTATGTAAATATTAAGATATGCATATAGCCTATGTATATTTACATATATTTTATGTCAGTATCTGCTGTACTGTTATAAAGATCTCATTGATTTACATTACAAGCATTGGAATTTCATCACATAAAATCAGCATCTGCACCAAATTCATAGTTTTTGCTCAGTTTGAGTCTTTGAATAAAATTGAGCTGTTTTTTTCCTTCATATTCTCACTATATCACACTATATCAGCCATAAAAGCCTTATAGATCAAATATGATACTCAACAAAAAAAGATTTTTTTAAATATTGTACTCATAAACTGTTCCACTGACTGTTTTTCTGACTATTATGTTTTATGTCGGGCTTTACAGGGTTAACCATTTGAGGCATGAAATCTTACTTCAAAACAAGAATTTCTTTTCTCTCTCTCTCTCTATATATATACTGTATATATGTGTGTATGTATGTACACTGCAAAAAATGCTTTTCTAGCTTAGATTTTTTGTCTTGTTTCCAGCCAAAATATCAAAAAATTCTTAAATCAAGAGGAATTTTCTAGACAAGTAGAAATGATTGTCTTGTCTTGTTTTAATTTTAACAAGTCAAAATTAAGTGAGTTTTTGCTTAAAACAAGCAAAATAATCTTATTTCAAACAGAAATGTGAAATATTTTGCTTACCTTTTAAATTATCTAGAATTTTTAGATATTTTGGCTGGAAACAAGACAAAAAAATCTAAGCTAGAAAAGCATTTTTTACAGTGTATACAGTATATAGAAGACTGTTTGATCATTTTTTACAGAAGGCATTCTTGATCATTTAGAGGTCTTATAAATTCATGTATTCACTTTGCTGTTATCTATTCTGTAATGATTTTTCCAGAAAAATTATGAAATGATCATGAAACGCCTGTTGTGACATGTGGCCAAGTATGGTGACCCATACTCGGAATTAATGCTCTGCATTTACCCATCCAAAGTGCACACACACAGCAGTGAACACACAAACTGTGAACACACACCCGGAGCAGTGGGCAGCCATTTATGCTGCGGCGCCCGGGGAGCAGTTGGGGGTGCGGTGTCTTGCTCAAGGACACCTCAGTCGTGGTATTGAAGGTGGGAGAGAGCGCTGTACATTCACTCCCCCCACCCACAATCCCTGCCGGTACGAGACTCGAACCCGCAACCTTTGGGTCATGAGGCCGACTCTCTAACCATTAGGCCACGACTTCCCCCCTGTTGTTTGTCCATCAGGAACACTTTGCTCCTAGAAATCATATGGTTTGCTCCATAGAGGGTGTGGGCCAGATTATCGGTAATATTATTCTGCTGAGCTTAACTTGCCATTGAATATGAAGCAAACGGAAGGCTATGGTTTCCAGCAAACACACACTGATGTGCCTCGTATTGTTTTATTGAGCGACGCCACCACATGGACTCAAAAGCCGTTCTCGTATTGCCAGAGGAACAAAGCCTCAACGGTGATTCCATACAATGAAAATGCCATTCAGTTCCTTTCTTTAGATGTCATAACCTCTGAACTGGATATGGGCAGCCGCTTCTCATGACTGAAACAGGACACGAGAAACAAAGACAGGATCAACATGATCCCTCAGAAAGAGTTCTGCTCTGATCTTTAGTTCATCACTGCATTTTTCATCTGGGATCAATTATAACTATGATCGGGGTTATTATAGTGAAGCAAAAATTAAAACCATAACTAAAAAACGCATTTTTGTTACTCAATAAATGTTATAAAATAGAAGTTGAACTCAAATAAAATAATATACTAAAATAACTAGAGCAAAAAAAAAAAAGTAAAATAAAAAGAATAAATTCTATATAGACATATTTAGAAAAACAATAACTAAATAATAAGATCTATGTAGGCATATTTAAAAAAATAATAACAAAAATGACAAAAACACAACGAAAAGTAAAATGAAAACAAAATACATATAAAAACTCATTTTTTTTTTCAGTTGTACTTTTTTTTAGTGCATCAAGTTGCCTTGTCAACTATCTGAAATAAAACACATTTACTTTTTAAATATTGTATTTCAGTTTTATTAAGTATATTTTTATGGTATTAGTTAACTACCTGATAATGAGAAGAACATACAGTATTATCTTAGTGCCTCTAAAATACTATTGTAGTTTTTATTAATATTTTAAACTTTTTTCATATTTTCCATTTTCCTTTTAATTTTTCAGAATTTTGTAAATTCATAATTCGTTTTTTTTAAATTCAGTTAAATTTGTATTTCACCCACAAGTTAAACTAAATGAAAATGAGAAATGTTGCCTTGGAAACTAGCTGAAATAAAATATGTTTATTTTTATATCTTATATCTCAAGTAACAGAAGTAATGGTTTTAGTTGTAGTTAACCATTATAACTCTGGTTTGTTTTTTGTTGTGTTCTTAGACTTTAGGAAATAATTTTGCACCTTAACCGAGTTTACGATTAATAGAAAATCTTTAGTTTTGCATGTTTTTTATTTTCTTTAAACCGTATCAGTACCGTGGAACTAAATGGTGAACTTTACATGTACCATGGTAAACATACGGTGCTCCAATTTACTTTAAAGAATGCAAAAAAAGTCAAACAATTGCATAATGCAATATATTTAGATCATATTTATATTTACATTAATATTTGCGTATTTATATTTACATGGATTTACAAGAATGCCATGATATTGCCATTATATTTTACCATGGTATCATATCTAAAAGAAAAAAACATGGTGCATGTCCCAAAAAAAGTGAATCATTAAAAAAAAAAAAAATTATAATAATATTTGCATTTTTATATTTACATGGATTTACAAGAATGCCATGATATTGCTATTATATATTGCCATGGTATCATATCTAAAAAAAATAAAAATAAAAACATGGTGCATGTCCCAAAAAAGTGAATCATTCAACAAAAAAAATTATAATATTTGCATATTTATATTTACATGGATTTACAAGAATGCCATGATATTGCCATTATATATTGCCATGGTATCATATCTAAGAAAAACATGGTGCATGTCCCAAAAAAGTGAATCATTCCCAAAAAAAAAAAAAAGATGACTTTCTGGTCCTTTTTTGCTAGTGTTCATCATGTAGTGCACATGAAAGCTGCGGGTTTCTGAATAACACAAGTTGAAACGCAGAGCTGCACGGCTGAAATATAATGATATAATGAAGCCTGTAAGAATGTCTCTAATCCCCTTCAACTTAACGCACAATAATAAGTCTAAATATGACATATGACTCCAAAAAGAGAGCATAACGGTGGAGAAGGGATTGTGTAAATTGAGCGAGAGGAAGTGACCTGTCTTTTTTCCTGTGCCTCAGAGGCAATTATTATCCGGTCCTGCTGTGATCCTGCCAATGGGCGATGGCAAACGTATCTTCTCTTAAAAGGATGTGTTCTTGTATAAAGGCGCATGAAAGGGTGAGAAAGTGAATTGCGAAGACGCTCACCTTGAGACTGTGCTGTCGCTGAGGCATTTGTGTTGTTGGCTGTGAGGGGGAAAAAACCAGGAGAGAAAGTCAGAGACAGAGAGAGCAAACAACGATTGTGGTCAATTATTTGTTGAAAGGAGGTTCTTGGCCCTCCAGAGCTGCAGCCCTCTATATCTACTACATCTATTTTCCTGTAATTTTAGACTGGTGAAACAGGAAGACTGTGGATTCAGCTCAGGCTGTGATACAGACGGACTCACTGCTGAACAGATGTATGGCACAATATTACACACCTCTCATAACGCAAGATCAGAGAGTGAGATGTGTGCTGTGAATCTGAGCAGATCCAGCAAATTCATATATATATATATATATATATATATATATATATATACTTTATATATAATTCTAATAAATTTTAACATTTAAATTTTTTTTATCTATTATATACTTTGAACTTGTGTGTGTGTGTGTGTGTATATGTATATGTATGTGTATGTGTATGTGTATGTGTGTATATATATATATATATATACAGTGCAGTCAAAAGGTTTTTGCACACGTAGGGCCAGGCAGGTTTGGACAGCTTTTTTCCTTTAATAAATGAAATCATCATTTAAAAACTGCATTACTTGCGTTATTGCGTTATCTTTGAGTAATATTAAAATTTGTTTGATGATCTGAATCTTTTAAGTGTGACAAATATGCAAGGAAGGGGCATATTATTATTATTATTATTATTTGAAAGATATTAATACTTTTACTCAGCAAGGACACATAAAAATTGATCAAAGGTGACAGTGAAGACTTTTTTAATGTTGTTAAGATTGTTTTGTTTAAATGCTATTACTTTAAATGGTAACAATATTAGACATTATTAATTTTTACTGTATCTTTGATCAAAATAAATGAATGTAGTCTTGGTGAGCATAAGAGTATACTTTTAAAAGCATTACAAACTCTTAATGAATGAACTTTTGAGAAATGAATAATAAATGAGAATAACTGACTTAGACGTATATTTGAGTGTGGTCGGCTTCAGTGCCGCTGTCATTAAAGTGTGTGTTCTGTGTGTATGTAATGTATAGCATATAGTTCCAATCCAAATATATTCATAAATCAACATTTTATGACACTTTGCTAGACATTTCACCTAGACTTTGTTTGTGTTTGTTCAGAACGTTCTGGTGTTTTTCACAAAGCGCTGACCTCGCCGGCCCTCCTCAGACACGCTTTCACCGGCTCTGTTTGTCCAGTGTTTTGTCGCAGTGTTGAGACGGCTAATGCTAGTGCCTATACAAGCTTTTGTATCAAACTGTGAATCGATGGTGTTTGATTTCAGCGCCTGACAAAGACAGCAGAAAAGAGTCTTTTTT